CCCTTTCCCCACCCTCAATCTCCACCCCCCAGGCCCCTTCCCTCACAGCACACTTACTAGCTGGACCCGGCTCCTCTCCTGGCTGCCTGTGTGCTGCGCTGCAGCTGCATACACGCACGCGGCATTTATTGGCCACATTAGGTCTGCGTACCCCCTACGACCTTTTCAAGTGCCCCTAGGGGTATGCATACCCACTAGTCTAACCCAAATGAGAGATACAGTAAAAGCTGTTATCCTGGGGAACAGGGGATGCTGGTTAATCAAATATTCCAGTTAATCAAATGTGCACCATCTGGTGCACTCCCTGGTGTCAGTGTGCAGGGGGACAGGGAGGGGGGCCCTGCGCAGTCTTCTTTGCCCTGGGCTGTGGGCCAAAGAAGTGGGAAAGAAAAACTCTGCTCTTGACAGCAAAACCGGAAGTATCACTTCTGGGTTTCGCTTTTGCCGCGTCCCTTGGATGCCGGTTAATAGAGTTTTCCGGCTAATAAAGTGCCGGTTAACAGCTTTTGCTGTATTTGCAAAAGGGGAACATGCCAATCTTTTAGCATTACTCCTTTTAAAAGTGGCTAAGAAGGGAAGTAAAAGACATGAATGAAATGTGTATCTGTGATAAAGTTAAAAATTTATGTGTCAAAACTAATGTAATAATGGGAAGCATGCTAACACTTCTAAAAGCAAACTATATGATCAGGTGTGAAAGTGTCAAGGCTGAAAGGTCAGTAGTGTGGCTTTGTAAACTCTTATGAGAGTACATTTGCAATTTGCTCTTGTTAAGATTGCTTAAAATATGAAAGATTCCATGTTCAGGCTCATTAACTGGTGCTAAGGCATTTTAAAGTTATACCACTTCAGGGGAGGATTAGGATTGTTTGGTGTTAACTAGCTAGTTTTAAGCAAAGTTCTGAGCATTCCACTGACTTAAAATGACCATTTTGGAGTCCTCCAGCATTGAAATACAAGAAATAAGAAAAGATGGATACACCCTTCCCAGCCTTCTGTATACTCTTCTGCTCCAAGAACAAATGGTCCATCTTCCTGAACTGTACAGCAGCTAGCAAGCCCCAGCAGAGAACTGTGGAGGCTGTGGGGCTCCTCAGCAACCCACCCCCAGCAGCCTGTACTGCATGCCCCCGCTTGCCTGAGAAACTGCAGCCACCCACCTGCTGTGAGGGAAGACAGTGTCCCTTTAAACTCGAAGCAGCATCTGGAAATATGACGAGAAGGGAGGTGCTACTGGACTTGGCCAAGGCTTGAGCCCTATTCCCTGGGTTGGGATGGGGATTGTCAGCCAGCAACTGGTGAAGTTTCTGTTGGCAGCCCTAGTTTCCCCCTTAGCCCCCACCTCGGAGCCTGCTGGCAGGAGCTGTCCCCAGTTTCTCCAGAGGCAGCAGGGAGCTCAGCAGCTGGCTGGAATGGCTCCCACCACCCACAATTTATTGGAACAAGTGAGAGTCTAGTCTTATCTTTCTTCATTTCTTGTATTTAAATTCAATCAAGTAAAATGCTTTTAAACAACTAACCTTTACATAAAAACATCTATGCCCCATGTCTGTGTTTTTCCATCTCCTGGCACACTGCTCCAGTTCTAGGAACACTGATCCCCCAAGACCCAGAGCACAGTGAGCCCAAGTGACAGGGCTCAGATGCATCCTTACTCACCAGCCTTGTAGTGGCAAGTCTGAGCAGTGCACGTTACAGAGGATATTAACCTTTAACTTGTCATTGATCATTATAACCTTATGTTCGTAAGGTAACCTTAACACCAACTATCATTCCTTACAATTGGTACTTGTAAACTCAAAACCATAATCTCACCCTTAGAAAGCACTAAAATCTGCTACATAGTCGACAGATGGCTGCTGGGAACAATCAGAAGTTTTTCAAACACAAGTTTTTGGAGCAGTAGAAATGCTTGCTGTATTTACGTGGATCCAAAATGACTGAATTTAAGATGACCCCCAGTAATTAGGTTCTGTATGTAGAAAATGTATAAATTTATAAATTTTCCATGTATAGACTCTAATTACTGGAGGTCATCTTGAATTTCTATTCCCACCCTTCCTGTCCCCCACACCATTATGTTGGGGAAAGCATCAGCAAGGGGGAAGGGGCTAGACCAGGGGCAGGCGATTATTTTGGGCAGAGGGCTGCTTACTGAGTTTTGGCAAGTCATCGAGGGCCGCATGACAGGCAGCCCAGGACAGATAAATATTAATTTTTAAAATTTTTTAGGGGTCGTGCAGGCCAGATAGAATTGCCTGGCAGGCCGCATCCAGCCCCCGGGCTGCATTTTGCCCACCCCGGGCTAGACCTTACCCCTTGTCCACCCTCCCCCCTTCCTCCATGCTTGTCCCTTTGCCTATCTTCTTATCCCCTCCCATGCCCACTGTGTCTATTCTCCTGCTGCCTGCAGTCTGCTGCTGCTTAGCTTCTGTGGCAGCTCTGGTGCTAGGGCAGTTAGCAACAGCAGCTCTGGCTCCATCCAGGCACAAGCAGCAGTAGCAGCTCTGGGCCCAGCTGGGGTTGGGAACAGAGCTGGAGCTAAAGGTAAGTGGCAGGGGGATAGGTGGCTAGGGGAGCATACTGCATTAATCTCCCCCTGCACTCCCCTCAAACTGCACACTGTGTTTCCTCTACTGTAGGCCTCCTCTCCAACCTCACAAGCTACCCCAGACCAGGGCAGATGGTAAAGCTGGAGCTGAGCCACCTCTTGCTCCAGGTTCACACTCAAATCTAAGCCAAGGGGTGTGGGGTTCCCCACCATGTTGACTGGGGCTGGGAGAGCGGGGTGGAAACCTTAACTCATGTTCAATTAAATACAGTATTCGTTAATGTAGTGTCTAGGAAGAGGTGCAGTGATGGACTGGTAGGATGCTGCTTAGTTTGTGTTTCAGCTTTATTCTTTTTTCCTTTTTCTAGGCATGTATGATGCTTATAACTTTCTTGCCATACACAGTAAGTAAACTTTGCATTTCTTTTTCATGTTTAACAAGACTGTTTTAATTTAAAACAAATATCGTTTAACTGGAGTATTCAGAACCCCCAGAGAACATTGTAATATCATGAAGCCTGACCCTATTGCCATGTATAAGCATTACATTTCTGATACTCTTTAATGGTCAATGTATGAAAAATGATTTTTCTTCAGGAGAAAAAGGCAATCTTAGAAAGTAACATCATATGTATTTTTTAAACAAAGCTGTTTTAGAAGTGCTTAAGCTGTCTTACCACAACTTGGCATAAGTGAAATAGGGCTTTTAAAACTCAAGTTTATAATGCACAAGAAACATCAGTGCTGATATTTTTCAACTATTGAATATCTGAAACTTCTGTTTTAATGTTAACCATAGGCAGATCTGGTATTAGTGCCCCTAGCTGACAAAATCTAACATTTTGGGGGGTTATAAGAACCTGTAGTTTGTTGTTTAAAACTCTGCCAGCCTATAACATTTTGAACCAAAATCTTCACATGCTGAGTGAGTGTCTGTCTCAAGCTGATTAACTGAGGTCAGAGGAGGGAAAAAGAGAATAACAGATACAGGTAGGCAGAAGGGCTTGTAACAACTGGATCATGCTTCCCTCCAAGTCACTGAGATGAATTTAGGATCCTGAGTCTCAACAATCCTGTGTATAAGAGATTGGTGCAGGTGTGTGTGACCTAAGAGGCTATGTGAGCTGAGTCCTAGCCCATAGTTCTTGTGGGAAACACTTTGGGGAACTCAGTGTGAGGGTGTTTTGCTGTAAACAGTTTCATAATTAGGACATCCAGATGCCCTTTTCACCACAGGTGGGAGATGGCAGCGTGAGCCTCACAGCAGCCTGTAAAGACTGCTTCCTGATTGACTCCCCATGACATGTTAAATATTAATGGAAGATTGTTATTCCCTCTGTTGACTACTCTAGTACTGCAACAGTTGTTGCAAGTGTGGCTGACTGTCTGATGAGCAGAGATCTGGGTTTCCCATTTACCATGGAAAAACGCAAATTTTCTTCTTTAAAGGAGAAAAACATGGGAAACTACATGTTTTCCCTTGCAGGCTGGCAGAGTTCCACTGTGTAACTTAAGTTAATTTTTTTAGCATTATAATTATTTGCTACAATAAAAAAATTAAAAAGTATATTTGCAGAGGCGAGCACTCAAGTTAGAAAATGCCATGGTTAAAATGCAATCTTAATTTGGTCCTAGGTACTTTTCACATAACATGTAATATAGCCTGTTAAACCAGCTGCCATAGGAAGTCACTGAGGCCAGGAGCATAGTTGTCTTATATTAAGAGTTAGGTTAATTGTTGTGGAAGGGATATTATGCATTGGGCTTCAGGATTTAAGCAAGTTTCTTAGAGCAGAAGTATGGTACCTAATGTAAGAGTATATTATTTGATCTCTGAAGCATCTGATATGGGCCACTGTCAGAATCACAGTACTGGATAGATGAGTCTTTGGTGCGCTGAAGTATGGCAATTCTTATGTTTCAGTTGTCGAGAAATACTGATAAGGAAATTAATTATTCTATTTTCAGGGCAGGGTTTGAATGCTAGACAGAAAATAAAGTTTTTGGACACAGACTAGGTCATATTGATGAGAACAAAAGAAGTGAGCATCACCTCTCCTGTACGATGGCTATAACGTGGTATTTAGAGGATTGGTTTGGGGAATTGGCTTGTAGGTAAAATATATATGGATTGGAATAATGGTCCAGAGCGGCGGAAAGAGTTAATTGATTTCTAAAGGCCTGGTTGTCACTCAGTTTCATAGCCTTCAAGGCAGACAGGATGTTTAACCCAAGGAAGCAACAAGGCCAACAGATATACTGTACACATAGCCTGGAAAGGTTTGGACATGTACCACACTGTTCCATAACATGAGATAAGGTGGCACCAGTTCACAAGGGTCCAGAGCGGGGGGCCTGAGAGTTCCAGTTTTGGGGGAACAGACCAAATTAGGAAAAGACCTGGGAAGCCCAAATTAGGATGCAGGCTTGTGAAACCAAGGAATATGCTGCGAGGACAGAATGTGAACAGTATGACAACCACAGAAAGACCAATCAGCAATAGCCACGGATGGAGACTCATCAGGAGGGGAAAAGAATACAAAAGAAGGGATTTTAGAGCAACACAGGGTCCCCCATCTCTGAAAAGGGTTCCATGATAAAGGGTCCTCAAGAGGGGAGCCCAAGGCACCATGGACACAGGGCATACCACCAGCTTGTTTCATCCATCCCACTGGTGGGGGGAGGGGAAGGGATGACAACGACAACTCAGCCTCCAACCTCCAGGCTGCTGACATATGACATTCAAGAGAGAACCTCGGAGTGATGTATCTTGACTCTGATGACATCCCTAGGATTGCTTGCATTATTCTTTTCTGTTGTCACTGTGTATCAATAAATTTGCTTATTATTGAATGGAAAGGTCATGGTCAGTCTAAGGGTTTGGGTCTGCCCAGAACAAGATATCTGGGTCATAAATCCAGTGCCAACACTGTACATAGAATAAGAGCAGCTTTTCATAGAAAATCTATCACAATGCATACACATGAGGAAATAAAGTTGCACAGGCAACCTTATTGCTGGCATTTCTTAACACTTTTTCAATTTCTTTAATGTATTTTTCTCATCGTATATGCCTACCTAGCCCAACATGATAGAGCTGACATGGCAGTCATAGTGAGAATTCTAGGAACTGTGGTGCCTGTCCTAGCAGTGAGTGCTGTGCAGGTGCTGGGGTCTGTTGGCATCAAATACATTTCAGGATTGTGATCCAACGCCAGTCTGAATGATCCTTAGCACTGGGCCACCTTTATGACATCAGCTCCAAAAACACCCCATATTTGTGAAAGCCATGATTATGTGATTTGTATTTACTTGCTGCTATAAGGTAATGTCAATAGAATTATGTCTTTTTTGGATAGTCAAGGTTTGTGATAAATGGGGGACCTGCTAATTTTATCTTTCATTTCTGTTTCCCTTCCGAAATTGTATTTTGATAAAGTATTTAACCCACTTGTATTTTTCTTCTAGTTTTCCTTAATGGCCTCCTTTCCTGGTGTACCTTTTGGTATTTTCATGTTTAGCACTTGTGCTGTTATCATTGGTCTTATCCAGGTATGGGAATCATTAGTTTACTCTTTTCTTTCAGCATTAGAGACATGATTTTCTTATCTGAAGCTAAAATTAAGTGTATTAATATTGGATTTTAGAATGCTAGGTAAACAATGTCAGATTATCATATTGCCATTTTAAAGATTAGTATCTCAGGAAACTGTTAGGGTGCATGGTTATTGTATTGCTAATACTCAAGTTATCCTTGTTATCTTGTAACATAGAAAACCTGATGCACTTGATAAACTAATAGAGAACAACCAGATCAGAAGGCTTAAAAGCCTTGAATTGAATCATGATTATTTAGAATGTATCTCTGTCTATAAATGGACTCAGAAAGGTAGGTAATTAGTAAGTAATGGACAACATTGTGATTTTTTTTTTTTTTTTTTTTTTTTTTTTTTTTTTTTTTTTTTTTTTTTTTTTTTTTTTTTTTTGTTTAGTTTACTTTTCTTTGGGGTTTTCAGTAGCTGTTCAGTATTTTGTTGAGGAGATGTAATATTGGCAATGGATTCATTTAATTTTTAACTATTTAAATATAAGAGAATGTCAGTTTTTAATGACAATAACATTATGGCTGGACTTAAACATTATACCAGTGGGAAACCTATGATTTGATATATCAAATACAGGGTTAGAAAAAACTGGACTGTAGTACTGCTATTAAAGTACAAGTCAAAACAGTTTATGAACCACCAGGTATTGGGGTTTCTGATGTTTAGGTCCCATTTTAGACTTTCAGCTTTGATTTACTTAGCTATCCACATATTGGCATCAATATTTTTTTTAATTCCTACAGGCAGTTATAGTAGCATATGGATTCTATCATCCATACTTATTGAACCACCAGATACAGGTGTCTGAAAACAAAACCTTCTACAAACATCATATCTTAAAGATTATTCTAAGAGGACCAGCCTTCTGCTTCTTAGCTGCCATCTTCTCCTTCTTCTTTATTCCTCTGGTAAGTTCCTTACATAACCATTTTTCCAATAAACTTGTTATGTCTGAAGATATTACCTGACAGTCTTCAATAGTCACATTTAATATTGTTTCCAGTACGTCTCCCTTTTAATTTATTTTTATGAAGCCTATAACTTTATTGCATAATATAGCAGCTTCTGTCCTATCACTAAGGGGATTTTAAAATACTCTGCACAAAATACCAGATGTCTTAAAACAGGGAATGCTTCTAAGCAGTAGAAGTCCTGTAGTTCTCATCCCTGCCCAGTAGTTTTTATCCCTGCCCAAACTGTAGCCCTATGTTACACCTGAAAAGCATTACATTTCCCATTTCCATCAACCCACTAAATCTGTTTGGAATTCTTCAGTTAGGAACCCAGATAATAGATTATCTGAAGTCTTTCCTCTGTCAAATGTCTATAGTTCCATGTCACAGGATTTCCAGGCTATTAATTTAATTTTTTTTGGTTGCCAGCTGGAATGCAGCTAAATCAGCACCACCATTTTGCAGTAAAAGCTGTACGGAGTAGCATGGACATCACCCACAAGTGCTGTTCGGTGATGGAAAAATTGTTATTCCACTACCTGCATCTGTTCACTTTAGCACCTCAGTCTGGGACAGACTCTTATAATGCTTAGTAAAGCTTTATCAGAATCCCTTCATAATGTCCCTTCAAAAGCAGATCTTTTCATAACTCTATACACTCTAAATTGGAAGCTTGCTGAGTGTAAACAAGTGAAACAAAAATAATGAATGAGGCTGGGTGAAATAAATGACTGATTATATAAACAGGCTAAAAAGCCTACAAATAGTTTACAAACGGGACACGAGATGTTTGTAAGTAAGTAGATCAGTCAGCAGCTAATTAACAGATTTGCATATAAATCTCAGTCACGTATAGTTAGCTCCTACTACAGTCTCACTAAATGGAAAAAAATTAATTAAATTGAGTTCCTCCAGCTCTCAAGTTCCACAGAAACAGTCCTTAGTCACTTTATGGAGGTGATCCAGATCCTGAAATTCTTTACAAGTAATGAGGGGCATTTGTACATGCTTGCGCTGCAGCACCAGGTGCTTTTAAAGCATATCGAAGGTGCTTTAGTTCAAAAGCGCACCACCACTATTTTGTCAGCGCTGATGCACATTTTGCCATTTATACAAATGTATGCGACACAGCACTGGGTGCGTCAGCTTGCGATTAATCGAGTCTGCTCCAACATGCTGGATCTTCAGTGCATCGGAGCAGGCAAACGTATGTGTATAACTGCCCAAGCCCCAAGGATTCCCTAAACTCCTACCTGAGAACCATCACAAAATTTATGCACTGCTTAGGACATGTTTATACACTATTCAGAGTTCTGATTTGATACATAGATCTTACAATAATCTTTTACATGCATGAGTTTGACCCTGTGGGTCAGAAATGGTAGGACTTTGAAGCATTTCAGTTTTTTTAAAAAACAGTTGTTCATAGGTATTCCTTGTTAGGAATCTGTTAAATTTACTAAACCTGTTTTTTAAACATAATTTTATCCCATGTTCAGATTGGTATGGACTGTGGGGATTTTTGCCTTCTGTAGCAGGGGGTGTGGCCCTCTTCCTGGGATCTCTTGAATGCATATTAACAGCATCTATGAACAACTTTTGCAGCAGCAGGACATTGGCCGGCATGGTCTCTCTGCTTTACCTGTGGCAGGTTAGGATATTATGTCAGGGTTGACTGTGTAGTTTCGCTACACACAATGGATTTGTATGGGAAAGCTTGGAAGGGATGATCCTGCCTCAGGCAAGGGGTGGGACTAAGTGATCCCTGACATTCCCTTTTAGCCCTACTTCTCTGAGATTCTATTTAGAAATATTTCAGTTTATATTTAAATTATAAAATCTGGAGTAGTGAATCTAAAAGACTTTTGTATAACCCATGTTCTTTGATGTGAGTAACTCGTCTGAGAGAGACGATACAGTTCTATCTAGGTCTATGAACTTTGTTGACCTAATTGAACAGTAAAGGACATGACAAAAGGAGAATTTCCTTTGACATGGTACCCATATCATTGCAGGTAGCACTAGGAAGCTCAAGACTTCCTAATAACTTCATTAGTTCTATAAAAATGGGGATTAAACTTTTGGGCCACAGTCCTAAGAGAATGATAAGTCTTCTTCCAATCTCGGAAATTCCTATTTACAAATATTGAATTATAGAAAGGCAGCATTAGAGTGTGTTCATAATGCAGATTAGTCTTGAGTATTTGTATTCCTTGAGTTGTAGTGACAGTGTATTTGGTTAACAACTTTTTTCTTGCTTTAAGCAATCAGTTTGTCCGAATTTTGTTACTGTCCTAAAATGTATAGTTTTCTATTTTAATCAGATCTATTCAGTATTGTAAATTCCTGGTTACAGCATCTGATTTGTAATACTTGATCCATGAAAGATAACAAACTGTGCAATTTTAACTTTGGTTCAAAAATTTACCTCACAGTAGTTAAAAGTTAAAATTGTTTTCATTTCTTTCTGTAGTCTTATGTGCTGCTTGGACTGGTTATCTTTTTTCCACACCTCACTCGATTCATTATATGGTGTAAAAGTAAGGCTGTTGGTAAGTAAATGCATTCCTTTTAGCTACTCTTAATTCCAGACACTCCATTATATTGTCAAAGTGACAAAATTATCTGATTCATAAGGTGCTTTACTGTTGAAAATGTAATGAACCCAAGTTAAAAAGAACCAAGGCACAGGAAAGAAATTCCGTGCCTATTCCCAATTCCATTTTTACTAATAGAGGCATCAGTAAACTTTTCGTACTCTCCTTCTGTTCTTGTAACCTTTTCCTTGGTTTTCCCTTATTTAGTCTTATATCTGTAGAAGACACCCCAAGCTTGCCTCTGAGAGTCCTTCTGTATACAAGGGTGAAATTTCACAAATGGAGAAAGATTTGCTTTCCCCGTACCCCCTTTGAAAAGCTGAATTGCCCAGGAATTGATATGCATGTCTGATCTCTGGTTCTGGCTCCAGCAACAGTCTTTGCCCCTAAGCCCCAAAATGACATTTAATATCTGCTGCAAATACAGTGGCTACAAGCAAAGCCTTCTGGGAGCCAATATCAGCTACTTAGAGAAAAATAACAGTGATGACATACAAATACTGAATATCCCCATTGGAAACAAGGGGTACCATGTACAGTAACATCTCTGTTACCTGAAGGCTTGTGTCCTGCTTCTACCCCACTGAATTCTTCTGAGTGGGGAGCCTACATCTGCTGCATTTTCCTGAGGTGCAGCTCAGGAGTTGGGGTGAGTGGGGACAGGCAAAGTCCAGGGGCAGGAGGACAGGCAGAGCATGGTGCAGTCCAGTGGCTGCAGGCAGCTGGTGCCGGCTGCTCCCAGGGCTTCTGCAGCAGGGACTGGGATGAGTGCTGTTCTGTTCCATCTGTTTTGCTGTCTTGTGCAGCCCCAGGAGCAGCATGCCTCCCCCAACCCCTTCCCTAGTCCCAGTCTCACTGCCTCCCTCCCTCACCACCATGGGAACCTATCCCTATTTCTTACATTATGAAGTGGGTTTGCTTTATGCAAATTTGATTTATGTGCCGTTCTCCAGGAATGCATGTACCACATAAATCAAGGGAAACCTGTATAAGGGTGTAAACAGACATTGCATTTGTGCACCATAAAAATACTTAGACTTGTATAAGACCAAGCAGACACATATCCACGTCCCTTGTCACACCACAAATGCCCAAAATTTGTGGTTGCAACATAGGTGGTGTGATTATGTGCTGCTATTTTGCAGCTGATGTCTGTTTGCTTTAAGGTGGGAGAGTGTGGGCAGCCCAGAGCTGCCCGTGCTCTCCAGCCACCTCAGACAGGCAGTCCCAGGGCTTCAGGGGCCCAATCCTGCATGCCCCAGGATTTCGTATTCGAGGGATACATGGAATAAGGCCCCTGAAGCCTTGGGAACATTTGCCTGATCCCCCATTTGGGATTCTGAGAGAGCATATTGACACCCTGGTGTGGTCTTGGGGTTGCCTGGATTGGCGATCTCAGCCCCAGAACCTCACCAGAGCTGGCTTTCAATACATTGTCTATTGTCCCTCAGGATTAACAGGCAGGACAACAGGTGACTTTTGTGTTTTGTCAAATGAAGCAGATAAACTGTGCAGGGGCACATCTTGGCACAGCTGATCCACTTTATTTGGTGACTTCTATTTATGTATAAGTACTGGAGAGAGCTGACAAAGATTGGAGCACAGTGTCCAACCTTCTTTATTGCAGAGCCCAACTACTGGAGGTCAGCCAGTAAAACCTTGTAGTGTAGGTTAGGTCTAAGAAAAGAGAAGACAATGTTTCATATAAACTTTTACATTATAGCAAGTTGCTATATGAGTAATGTGATGCTTTGACAATATTATTACAGTAAAAGGAGTGTCTGGCTTAGCCATGGGTTGTAGTAAAGCAGGGGCTTTCATCCCTGACCTATAGACCAGATCCAGCTGCTGGAGCAGTGTCAACTAATGGAAATCTTTCATGCAGATATAACTGTTAGATTGTAACAGCTCATATTCTCATACTGGTGTAATTCTTATATCTGTCTATACCCTGAATTGTGAAAGATGAGCAATGACATGTGTTTCACAAGTTTTTGTAGAGAGATTGTGTGCAGGGAGGGAAAGGATCCCAGAGTAGACTTTCATCAATCTAATCTAGCACTGTTAAATTAATTTCTTTCATTCATAGTAAACATAAAAATTGTGGTTTGCAGGTGTGAAAGAGGATGAGGAGGAGCCTCATAGCTTAGAGTCCTTCTCTTTCTACCTTAGTGAACCTTTGAGTAAAGAACGAGTGGAGGCATTCAGTGATGGTGTTTATGCTATTGTAGCAACCCTGCTCATTCTGGACATATGGTAAGACTTTGGACCAATTGACATACCTTATATTGTCGGTGTGGGTGTGGACACGTGTAACAATTGAATCATTCCTAAATGTCACTGTTTGGAAGCTAGTTCAAAATAGTCCCAAGTCAGGGTGTGGGCACATGTAACAAATAAGTCATTCCCAGAGTAGCCAATTGCAGCAATGGGCGGATTTAAAGAGGTGGTGAGGAGTGATGAAGTGTGGGATGCCTAGAGAATCCACCATACCTGTGTCATGGAACACAGCGCCCACATGTTATATTTACCCAGCTCACAGTGAATGACTTCAAAAGAGTACTTGATTTTCCAGGTACCCTTTTGAACAATTCTAGGCAGTTTTATACCAGTTTACCAGGCTTGGGCATTTGGACACTACAAATTTAAACTGCATTTAAGCTAAGTGGTACATGTGTTGTACCCTCTGTGTGAGTGCACATGCACATAAGTTTTTCAGATATCAAAAGAGAATGGAATTATATTAATATGATTTCTATAAACAATTGCCCTTGTTACCTTAAAGGGAAAAGACACTATGGATTATTAGCAGAAAAACTCCATGCAACCAAAATTCTGGATTAATAGACACCGTCCTTCTTTAATATGGTTATATTAGACCTAATGTTTTCCCATTCTCAGAAGTTTTGGGGAAAAAATGCCTTATCAGTCACATGCTTAGAGAATCAGACAGGTTCTGTCAGGCAAAGGGTTAAGTTGGCTTCTAGATTCTAATTTTCATATCAAAAGAAATAACTTAAGTCCCACTTGAGAACTTTATTGCTGACTAGTGAATTGCCCATCAAGAATGGTGTGGGGAGCAGGGACGGAGCACTGCTACCCACCACTCCGCATGGCCACCACCTCCCAGGAGCAGGGTGCGGGGAAATTACCCCACTGTCCCCTTCTTCCCCCCTGCACCCCACACTGCTGCTGCCTCCAAGTGGTGGCCTCACCCCACCCCCAGCCCTGCTCCTTGGAGGTGGCGTGGGGCAGTGGCAGTGCGGTGCTTGCCTTGCCCTCCTCCATCTCCACCAACATTCTTGATGCGCAGTTTGCTAGATAACAGAGGGGATGGGCAGGGGAGGCAAGGCCAGTGCCGCACCACCACCATCCCGCACTGCCTCTGCCTCTAAGGAGCAGGGCTGGAGGCAGGTGGCAACGCCAGCAGCATTGGCCTTGGCCCCCCCCCCCCCCCCCC